GCTTGACCATCATACGTCGAATACGATAAGAGAGTTCACTATATATATATATATATATATATATATATATATATATATATATATATATATATATATATGTGTGTGTGTGTGTGTTGTGTTTGGTTTGGTTTGGTTTGGTTTGACTTGTTTGTTTTACGGCATATCAACCTCAATGTGTTATTTAATGCCGACAAAATTTTTATTGTTGGTAATATTTTTTTTTCAAAAATATATTTCTAGGAATATTTTTCCTTGACGAAATCTATAGCTGGTCATATTTTTTCCAAAGAATGTATAGCTGTTTGTATTGCTGGTATTTTTTTCTTTTTTAAAGTATTGCTGGTAATAATTTCCACTTCAAAAATTATTGCTGGTATTAAAACCTATATTTATACAAGTTTGGGTGTTAAATATTTGCCCATAGCTGGGAGTCTAACCGGTGCTACCATCCCGGGTCAGGGTGGACCTGAGAACATCAGCAGTTAAGTGGTAGTTTCACGTTCCTCAAAACCTCCTGATCAGAGGCATTGCTGCTGGATGTAGTTTATCGTCTGACCCAGGACGCGGATGTAGTTTATGGTCATACCCAGGACACGTGTGTGTTTGTGTGTGTGTGTGTGTGTGTGTGTGTGTGTGTGTGTGTGTGTGTGTGTGTATAAAGAGATAGATAGATAGATAGATAGATAGATATAGATAGATATGAATAAAAAAATTCGTTTATTTCGAATTTTCTTTGATACACTTGGTTTGGCCCTTTTATCAGTTCTTCCTTATTTCCTTGTCGTCTGCTTTTAGTCAATATTTTTTCGAAGTCTGTATTTTGAAAAAGGTCACTGAACATTCGACAGTACTTTTTGCTTTTTTTTTTTTTTGACTTTGAAGTATCAATATTCTTTTTTTTCTGTCTGCCTTGTTTTAATCTCTTTTTCAAACTCAAAACAAAACCTTTTAATAATACCTGACTAAACACCACCTTATTATTCAGCGTATTGCCTCAAACTAGTCTTGATTAAAAAAAAAAAAATAATTTCCGCCGAATTTACTTACCTTTTTTTTTGTTTTGTCTTTTATAATTCCCTTTGATTTCTTTCTCTTTGTTTTCTTTTTCTTTTTATTTCCTTCCCTTCGTCTTTCTTTCTTTCTTTCGATTCTAGCCCGCCAACTTCTACTTCGAACTGCGTCTCCTTCTTGGGTGCATCATTTACACCTGAATAGCAGACATTACACATACTCACACACACACAACGACACATACACACATACATGTATACACACACACGCACATATAAGTAGATACATGGACACACTCACATAGAATAAATACAAGTACTTCAGCCTACACAGTAGTCATATCTCCATATTCTTGCATAGTTATCGGCCATTTTTCATAAAAACGAAAACTTAAAGCAGCCACACGCGCGTGCGCTCTCATACACACACATTCATATTCGAATATGCCTGTCTGCTAGAGTTGCTAGCCAATTTATGTAGCAGAGGCTTTCTCACACACGTTTGTGATTGTTTAACAACGACAGAACCAACGTGCGTCTTATACTGGGACTATACTGAGCAGACCTTAGTTGTAATCTCTGGAAGAGAACGCATAACTTGGCGAGAGCAACAGTTTATAAGAAGCCAGTACTCTCAAAAGCAACCATCGACAGTTTCAATCACTAGGTTTTTCGTGCATTTCCTAACGCAGCCGCTCGCTGAGGTCATCTCCCTGATACATAATCGCTGGCTACTCGTTTCCGTCTGTCAGAACAGCTATGTCACATGCTATTACAGACGCCCGCTCAACCGACACTCCTCTGGGGATTATACTGCGACTATACCGTGCGGACCTGTAGTCCCAGTTTCTGGGTGAAAGTGTATAATCTAGCGTGATCAAGTTTTGGAACACGGTCAGCGCGCTCAAACCCTCGGCCACGATGACTTGTGACTTCGTTCTAGCACAACGATTGACAGCGTCTAAAAGTTTCTGCCTTCCCAGTTACTGACAAATTGACTATGATGAGATTCATGGTTAGACGGTAAACCTTGTAACCAATGGGCCACGCGAGCATATATATATATATATATATATATATATATATATATATATATATATATATATAAGAACAGTAAGATATATAATCCAGTGTTCTTATTGATTTTTTTTTTTATTTTATTTTTTACAAAACAGTGCTCAATGTAAATTTACAGAGCATAAATATTATAAATTAATTGATTTAAAATATGTTTTTTCGCTACACAGTAATAACCATGTTGCAAACCTGAAGCTAAAAACTTCAAATTTAATTGTATAATTAAATTAAAAGCATTAATTCCGTTTCATCTTCAAGCGAATAATGGAATAACTCATTTTTAAATTTACTGAGTTTTAAACGCAAGATGAAACGGAACTAATGCTTTTATTTTAATTATATAATTAAATTTGAAGGTTTTAGCTTCAGTTTTTGAAACATGCTTATTACTGGGTAGCGAAAAACCCATATTTTAAATCAGTTAAAATATATATATATATATATATATATATATATATGAAAGTGAACATTGAAGTCAACACTCAGAGGCAACAGGCATTTTCATGCTAGACGTAAACGTCAGGCCAAGTGTGTTGTGTTTTTTTCTCGACTGTTTATATATATGGGAAAGTGGTGCATTGTGGGTAGCCCATTCTGGCGGTTATTTTAGGGGAGTGGCTTGTTTATTTACTTATTTATTTGTTTGGGTTAATTTATTTTACTTGTTTTTATTTATTTTCATTTTTTATTTTATATATTTATTCTTTTCGTTTTTTGATGTTTTATTAACGAAGTACAATTGCGGGGTGGGGGAGTTGCTTAAGTCGATTATTTAATAGTTTGTTTTGGTCTGAGAAGATAAAGCTATTCATTCGTCCAATTTTGGGATTGATTGCTGTAATCTATTCTGTTATTTTGGCGGGGGTAGTTATTAATTTGTTTATTATTTTATTAATTTATTTTGATTGATTATTTTTACTTGTTTTTGCTTAATTTTTTTAATTTATTCTAACGGCTATTTTAGCGGGAGCGGTTTGTTAATTTGTTCATTTATTCATTTATTTGGATTAACTTATTTTACTTGTTTTTTCTTATTTAGCTCCTTATTTTTTTTTTTTTTTTTGCATATTTTTATTTACTCTTTTTGGTTTTCAATTTTTAAGTAACGTCGTCATTTTTTGACATAAAAGACTACGTTCTTTTTACTACGTTAATAAAACATCGAAAACCGAAAAGAATAAATACATATATAAAATAAAAAATGAAAAATAAAAAGAGGTAAAATAAATTAAACCAAAAAAATAAATAAGTAAATAAACAAGCCAATCCCGCCAAAATAACCGCCAGAATGGACTACCCACAATGCACCACTGAAACATATATATAAATAATCGAGAAAAACCCAACAGTCGCAGCCTGACGATTGCGTCTAGCATGAAACAGCCTGTCGTCTCTGAGTGTTGACTTCAATGTTCACTTTTATATTTACATACGCTCTATCCCTGATATTGAGCACTTTATCCCATAAATATAGCACACCATAAAATTATATTTCTTCATATATATATATATATATATATATATATATATATATATATACATTATGAATTGGACAAAGTCCGACAATTTATTAAAGACATTTTTATGTTTAACATTCTTGTATCTATAAAAAGAATGTTAAACATAAAAAGTCTTTATTATATATATATATATATATATATATATATATATGTGTGTGTGTGTGTGTGTGTGTGTGTGTGTGTGTGTGTGTGTGTGTGTGTGTGAATATATAGAAAATAGGAAAGAACTCGTAAGGTAAATAATCCAAAATTCTTTAGTACTTTTGTTATTATTTTTAAAAAAATAGTGCTCGATACAAAAATAGAGCATAAATATAAGTTTTTTGGCTCTTGTTTTTGAAACATGAGAACTCTTATGTAGCGTGTTGGAACCATATTTTTAAATAAATAATTATATATATATATATATATATATATATATATATATATATATATATATATATATATAAAATTTGCTATACTTTGCAAGAGTGCTCATTACACTGGTCTACACAGCATGAAAGCTTGAAAACAAAAATAACTTGGTTAATTTAGGGGCATTGGAGATAAAAATGATATCTAAAATTGTTCATTGGCTCTAGATTTCAAGATACCGTACTACTGTTATATAAATATTTCATCAAAATTGTTGTCCTTGCTAGATTAATCATTATTCTCCTAATAACCTTATTATATATAATTATTATCCTAATAAAATAATTATTATTCTCCTTTCCATTCAGGTTTTCACACATTTAACTGACCTGTGAAAAACGTCCCGTGAATATATGAACAAAGCCGGTAAATCTGCTATATGTGTGGCAAAGCTAAATGTGACACCTGTTTGGAGAAAAGCTTATAAACTATATTTTGGATGCAAAATGGGGGATCACGACAAGTGAGATGCTGTAATAATCGTGCAACAAATCTCAGTCAATGGCTAACCAGGAAGAAAAAAAGATCTATGCCTTTTGCAAGTGGCTATGATTTGGAGAGAGCCAACCTATCATGCCACTAATTGCTACTTCTACATGGTGCCTCCACTTGTCAAAGAAAAAGAAACGGACGATGCAATATCCAAACATTCCATCAGCTTTGCGTCTTGTCTCCCATAATGAGGACATATCAGTCCCAGAAGCACCGGAATCGGATGAAATTGAGTCAGATGATGTTGAAGACAATAAAATCTTAGAGCCTGAACCATCAACTTCATATAACCAAGATTATTATGTAATATCCATCTTTGAACCAGACCTTATAACCCAAAGCGACCTAAAAGACAGAGATTTTGGAACTTCCTAAGACTCAAGCAGAACTGTCAGGTTCCAGCTAACAGCACTGGGATCTATTAGCTGAGGAATTATGGATTACTCATCTCCGTGATCGTCATAATGATCTAGTCCCATCCTCACTTATGGAAGCTGATTTGGTTTACTTCAATGATATCAATCGTCTTATGCAATCACTTCACATCAGTTACAATCCAGAGGAATGGAGGTTCTTCATTGATTCCTCGAAGACAAGTCTCAAAGTAGTTTTATTACACAATGGTAATGTTTTACCTTCAGTTTGTCATGAAGTCGACATGAAATAAACTTATGAAAATATGAAACAACGACTGGGATATATCAACTGTGCTCAACATAACTGGCCACATTACGGATATTTGAAAGTTGTTGCCTTCTTGCTAGGACTTCAGGGTGGATATACCAAGTACTGTTATTTTCTTTATGAATAGGACAGCCGAGTCAGAAGTTCTCATCAAGAGAAACTGGCCATTACGACAATCACTGGAACCTGGGTGAAAAATTTTTAGTATCCACCACTAGTTGAGGTAAAGAATGTTTTGTTACCACCTTTTGACATCAACCTTGGGCTTATGAAAAATTTCGGGAAGGCTATGGTCAAAACAAAAACAGCATTAAAATATGTGAAGAATAAATCTCCCAGGAAAAGTAAAGCAAATATGAAGAAAGCCATCTTTGTTGGTCCTCAGATTCGTAAACTTCTTTTGGGTGAAAATTTTGTCAGAGTATTAGTGGAAAAGGAAGAAACTGTATGAAAACCTATCAAGTCATTGTCAACCAATTTTATGGGCAATGAAAGAGCAGAAAATGGCATAAAATTGGCAGAAGGGCAAATATCTTGACTGTCACTTGTCGCTGAAGATCATCTTCTTAGACTAGCATCTTGATTTCCCCCAAAAGCCGTGATGCTGTGAGTCACGAGCAAGTTGAATGATCAAAATCATTGTACCAATTGAAAAAATAGATCAGAGCAGGTGGTGCCCATCAATGCTGGCTGACTATCGTTGGGTTGTGACCAGAGAGAATCCTTCTTCAGTTTACAAAAGATAAACAAAGAAGCAACGTGTATTTGCCGAATAACTGCGCATGTATATACTTCTGAAGAGAGTTTTCCGGTTGTATTTTATTCGTTAAACACATATATTGCCATGTTGATGTGTTTGTGTATAGCTCTGGTAGCCGACATAGAGCAGAGCATCAAAGCAGATTTTGCATAGAAACATTGTCTTTCTTAAAGACATTCATTGTACGAGATAAATTAATAAATTGTCTTTCTTAAAGACATTCATTGTATGAGATAAATTAATAAATATCTCTAAATCTCGAGCCAATCATTTCATTGGAAAGTAATTTTTAAATGACAAAATAGATAAAAATTGGCACATTTCATTTCTGAAGTATTTAACCTGTGATAAAGTGTGGATCAGTGAATATAAATTGCTTTATATCATTTGTTATTCCTCTTCGTTGATTATGTGTAGTAGGCATGATATTGCTAATATTTTTTAAATATACAATAAATAAAATGCATTGAAAGTGCACTGATCTGACAATGGTGTACAATCAACCTCAGACCGGACTTATACACAATATCATCAATAATCACAAATAGCATTAGCAGCAAATTATGGTATAGGAACTAATCCCTCCTCAGGTCCGAATTCAGAGGTGTCCTTCTCCATCCAAGGTTATAGAACCCAGTCTGTTCTGCTATTTGCCCATAGCTGGAGGGAGAAGAAGAGGATTCACACCTTTCCCAAGGGTATTAGCACGTAAGTGAATGTAACGGATTCGACTGGAATTTGAACTCGGCTCTCCGATTCCTCAATCCAAGCCGCAATCCATTACTCCACCGTGTCCGTTCCCCTGACTCCATATCTATCTATCTATCTATCTATCTATCTATCTATCTATCTATCTATCTATCTATCTATCTATCTATCTATCTATCTATCTATCTATCTATCTATCTATCTATCTATCTATCTATGTTTTGTGTGACATAAACCAATAAAAGTTCAATTGAGTTATCTTTTTGGCTGACGTAAATTTATTCAATAAAATCGTCATTGGCTTCAATCACGGCCTACTGAAGACTACGGAATCTCCTGCATTTTTCTGGACGAACTTGATCTGCTTGTGTATTGCTCTTGAACGCGGCATAGAGCAGAGCATCAATGCAGAATTTGCAAAGACATTCTTGGAGACATCCATTGTACTCATATGTATGACATAGCTGACCAAATATCTTTAAATCATCTAATTTGAAGGTTATTTCCATTATAAATATATATTAAGGCACGTCAGCGTAAATGATGGTTCCATATGTATATATATATATATATATATATACACACACACAAGTATAGGATTGGTGTATACGGAATAAATTCCAATAACCAACAAATACTATTCTTAAAAGAGTGCTCAATACAGAGTAGAGCAAATATAATTACAGTTTAACCCGGATATAAGAGACCCGGATATAAGAGAAACCCGGATATAAGAGAGATTTTCTCTGGTCCCAAATTAGAACCTGTGTTAATGTATATATAATAGACCAAACCCGGATAAAAGAGACTTCTTCTCCGGTCCCGACAACTCTCTTATATCCGGGTTACACTGTATATATTCTACAGATATAATTATTAATTCTACAGAGTAGAGCAAATATTATTTATTCGAATATTATTAATTTTCGAATAAATAAATTATTAATTTTATATATATATATATATATATATATATATATATATATATATATAGATAGATAGATAGATAGATATATTTATGTAGAACCGACCAGAATTTTCGGAAGAACAGCATTCAGAGAATTGGTTCACATAGAATGAGACAATGTTCTCAAACAGACCACTCCAGGTTTTGAATTCAAAATTATCCTTCTTCTATACTCTCTGCAAACTCAGAATAAAGAGCTAAATCTTCCCTACTATTTAATCCATAGCTTAGGGGTAGCGATGGATTCATACTTTTCCAGAGGTTATTTGTGCACGAGTGTAACGATCTAGGTTGGAATTCGAACTCGGCTCTACCGATTTCTCATTTAAAGCAGGTATCCACACGCGGTAGTTTAATGAGTGTATAAATAGCTGAATAGACTTGGCTTTATAGCCTTGGTTGGGGACTAGTCTAGAAGTAAATCTCAGAATTCAAACCAGTCTGGAGAGGGATGGGATTCGTCAGACTTGACACACGACTGCTGCTACAGCTTCAATACTTATGGTAGTCCTTCGATCCTCGGGTATTACGATTCACGTGTTAGTGATCCATTATATATATATATATATATATATATATATATATATATATATATATATATATATAATAAAAGTGAACATTGAAGTCAACACTTAGAGGCGACAGTCTGTTTCTTGCTAAATGTAGTCGTCAGGCCACACGATTGTGTCTAGCATTTTAAGTTTACGCTCGCTCTATCTCTATCTCTGATATTGAGCACTTTATCTCATAAGTATAGCACGCCTTAAGAGTATATTTCTTCATATACATACATACATATACATATATATATATATATATATATATATATATTACGATAAACGTGCAATCAATTTACAAATTCATGAATTATTCACACAAAAACTAATGCAAATGTTAATAATTTAATTGGCGAGAAATCCATCATCGTAAACAATTCAAATAATATACAAAAACCTCCGAATCCGTTATGAATGAAATGATCCTTGTTTATATAAATTTCTGCCGTATTAGTTCTTATTTTTACTACAAGCTTTCGTCTGTTCCTACAGACATCTTCAGGTATAGAATAGATGTTGTTCTTGTTTTTTGTGTGAATAATTCATGAATTTATATATATATATATATATATATATATATATATGAAGTCTGAGAAAAATATTGATGAAGTAAACGGAGTGAAGCCGCTTGGTAAACATTGACGTCGAACTCAAACACACTAAGTTATAACGTTCTCGCTCACTTCTGTTGCTTACAGCAGTACTTTGAAGGAAAGTGTGTAGGGTGTGGTCGTCCCTCAATATCACACAGGTTTTTGACCAAGCACAACATTCCTCGGGTCTTACAACCACCATATTCCACATATCTCGCCCCTTGCGAATTTTTCCACTTCAAAAATGAAATCCCACTCGAAACGAGCAACACTTCTTGATGCCGAGGAAATCTAAGAGACAGTGACGAAGCACCTGATCGATATTCCCCAAAAGGAGTTCCTCCAGGAATGCTTCCATCAATGAAAACGACATTGGATAAATCGTGTAGCTTCGGAAAGTTTAAAAGTCGAATTGATGTGTCGTAGTTTTTTGGGTTTTTTTTAGCACGGCATCCAATAATTTTGATCAGACAACGTATATATATATATATATATATATATATATATATATATATATATATATATATATATTTTGGATGAAAAATTATTGATGCCTAAAAAAAACCTACGATTTCAGATCTCAGATTGAAATATATATATATATTTCTTTTCATTTTTCATTCAAAATACTCAAAATTGTAGGAATACGTTTTCACAGCGTCGCCCACGTGACGACAATGTGACCATGTTTCAAACGGAGCGCTGATATTATAAAACTTTCAGTTATTGTTTGGATAAGTCTTGTTCTAATGTACATCGTCTTTTTCATGTTGTATTGATAATGTTATATTTATGAATATGTCCTGAAGATGGTTTATTAGACCGAAACGTCAGACGTTGACATATTAACATTAAAACAACATAATCGTATATAAGGATTTTTGTTTTGTTTTTTCCGTATATATTTTTCTTCATATGTATATATATATATATATATATATGTGTGTGTGTGTGTGTGTGTATGTGTGTGTCTAGAAAATCGGAAGTCAAAATTGCTACAATTGAATAGAAAAAGAGAGAAAAGGGTAAGTAGTGATTTTAAAGTGGAAAAAAAAGAAACCGACAAAAAGGACAAATTACCACATTCTAAACGTACGCACCTACGCGCATGCGTGCCAATGGCCGAGTGCACGCACAAACACACACATATATAGCATAAAAAAATTGCACCAATGAAAAGAGCATATAAAAAAGAAAAATCAAGAAGTAACAGTCAATTGCTGATATCCCTTGACGAGTGGATGGAGTGATTCTCGGATGGTACGTGTAAAAAGCTTTGGATTCGAAATGCCGAAGATAACATCAATCAGCTAAGTCACAAACCTTTTACTTGTATTAATTATATGTTGTACAAAAATGAATTTGTTTCTTAACATGCAATCGCAGGTATACAGTAAAAAAAAAAAAAAATACAGTATAACCCGGATATAAGAGAGTTGTCGGGACCGGAGAAGTCTCTTATATTCGGGTTTCTCTTATATCCGGGTTTGGTCTATTTTATATACATTAACACAGGCTCTAATTTGGGACCAGAGAAAAACAGAGAAAAACACTGTATTACTAAGAGTGCATTTCTCTGTATACGCACCCATCCATCCACGCATATCTATGAAGAGTTGCTGAAAAGTTCTCAGCCTGGCCATTTCCCCAAAATTCATTTCGATTTCAGTCATTTTCCCACCGTCGAGACATGACTTCTCTCTGCCTTTTCTATAAATATTTTCATGGCAGTTGTTCTCATGAGCTTTCATCCTTGGTACCACGACCGCATGGATTTAAGCGCAGTACTAGATTGGCATTTAGGGCTCATCGTTTTTTTTTTTTTAAATAGTTCGATGTAACCTTAAGTTCTATTCTAATAGTTTCATTTCTGTTGCAATCGATCTTCAAAAAGTTAAATGCAACGCCATATCGCCATCACCTGTCTTCCTGAAATCTGTTCTTTTATTGTCCTTTCTCCTCACTATTCTTCTCAGTAACCGCCTTGTGTCTTAGTGGCTTTATTGCCTTGCTTAGGGCGAAATGATAAAAAAAAATGTCAGAAATATATCAGAAGGAATTTTTGGTTGAGGCGAAAATTTTCCCGCACTGCTGCATACATCATATCTATCTATCTATCTATCTATCTATCTATCAGTTATTCATATATATCTATCAGTTATTCATATCTATCTATCTATCTATCTATCTATTAGTTGTTCATATCTATCTATCTATCTATCTATCTATCTATCTATCTATTAGTTGTTCATTATCTATCTATCTATCTATCTATCTATCTATCTATCTATTAGTTGTTCATATCTATCTATCTATCTATCTATCTATCTATCTATCTATCTATTAGTTGTTCATTATCTATCTATCTATCTATCTATCTATCTATCTATCTATTAGTTGTTCATATCTATCTATCTATCTATCTATCTATCTATCTATCTATCTATCTTCATTTGTTCACAGTTATATCTCTACTTTAACTGCCATCTGTTACATCACTTATTATAGTAGTATGACAAAGAATCCTTGAAAATAGCTAATAGTTTAGCCGAAAACGGAGTCAACAAACTTTGGGTCAACTTTTACACTCATTAACTTCA